TCTCCTGGGCAGGTGAGAATCGAACTCATGATGAAGCGGCTTGAGCTTCTCAGTACTGTGCTTTAACCCGCTGCTCCACCAGGGAGGGCCAGAACTACATATTTTTAAAATGTGAAATCTCTTGATGCTTATGGTATCTTACCCCAGGCTACTTTCTGGCTCTACCCTTAAAGGTAGCCTTGCTCTAATCGTAGAGCAAACTACTTTGTGATTTAGGGACAAGCTATATAATATTCCTGTTCTGTATTTGTGAGAAAAAGTATCTTAGTCCATGATAAAGTTTTTTTTTTTTTTTAAAAGTTGATCTGTTTACCTGACACTAAATGTGCTGAGTTTGGTTAATTTTGAAACCATCCTTCATCTGATGTAGTTCTTTATTGTCTCAGAATGCATTAGTTTGGGGGCTTCTCTGGGTGCAAGGGTTGAAGATGCAGCATTATGAAGCTGTCTGCAGTCACTGCAGCACCAGTTCCATCCCTGGCCAGGGAGGTGACCCATGTGTCACAGCAGACTGTTCCCCCTCATCGGTGTACTTCAGTCAGTCTGTTCTATTCCGTACTCTGTCCCTGGTGAATCTTTTCACTCCCTGCATCTCTCTCTGACCTACACACCAGCTCTTGTATGAACAAATAAATCTTAAAAAAAAAAAAAAAAAAAGGAATGCATTAATTTGCATTCATGTTTTGAGGAAAATGTGAGATTTTTTTCCCATTTTTTTGCAACATTTGCTACAGTGTTTCTTATGTATTTTGGTAACCCAATTTTATGTGAATTTTAAGTAACTTTGGGAATTTAAGAAAAATCTCAGTGTGAGGCCTTCAAAAACCAATAGTTTTTGGGTCCACATGTACTACATACTTGAGTTATTTTATTGTATATGTCATTTAACATTTAAAATTTACTCAAAACTTTGTGAGATGTAACTTTTTTGAAGGTCTGTGAACAAAGTTTTTTGTCTGAGAAATAAGTCTCAGAGGGATCACGTGTTCTTGATTGTATAACTGGTGGGAGGTAGAATCAGGAGTTGAATGCAGGTCTTCTGACTTGAAGTCTAGCAATTTTCACTACTTTCCCATAGTGGGAGAAACTGAATTTTGAGAGTTGTTAATTTTTCTCATCAACTTACTTTAGTATAGTAGTTCTTCAACTCAATTATTAACGTACAAAGGAGGCAGGGATACATCCTTGATTAGGGAACATTTTCCACTTTTTTCTGTGAGTCAGTGAGTTGATTGCCAACTCACCAGACCCAGAGGAAGCTTATTTTAAAATGTCATCAAGAGAGGTTTCTTTTTTTTTTTTTTAAATGAGTGAATATATTCAGTATTATTAATTGCTCATGTTTAGTGGGCATACTAATTAATTTATTATGTTTATATCATTTATGTAGTTGAAGTATTGTTTTTAGATTAAAAAATTCACAGGTGATTGTTTAAAATATAGCAACTGCAAATAATTTCTAAGAATGGAAATTATACTAGTATTGCTCACCAAACTATGTAGTTAATAGGTATCTTTAATTTGCATAGTTAGTAGCTATATTTATATGGCAGAAGTAGTGAAGAACTAATTCTATTTCATGTAAAACCTAAGGGTATATTTTGAACTTTTCCCCCCAAGAAATACACATAATTTTTAATTATTTGATCTCAGTTTGAGATTGCTGAATCTTATGTTTCTAACTATGGGAAAAGGTTGCTATGCAAATTGATGATTTGTAAATGAAATTTGAAGTGTGGTATTTGTTTAAGATTATTTTCAAGTACACAGAAAAACCGACTTGTAGCCAGTTGATAAGATAATTATAGGTAGGTGGTTATTGTTACAGTCTGAAACTGGCAATATGTAAGTTAAAGATGGAGTATGCCCTTATAGTGGTATATATTGTCTTAAAATTAAGATTTCTAACACTCAAACTGGTAGGTAAAATAGTCAGTTTTTACTCTGCTTAGTGAAAATAACCTGTATATACTATGATGCAGATAAATCACCTAAAGCTATTAATTAAAGAAATTTCTTCTTATAGTGTTTAAATATTTCATTTTTAGTTTTGCATTTTAATTTCAGGTCATCATTTCTGCAGAGGTCATTGGAGCACAAAAATTTTCTCCCTTCTTGTAAGCTATGATTCTTTTATTTAGGAAGTATGTTTTCAGTACATATGTAAATGAGGCCCAGGATATATACTATAGAATGTGTGACTACAAAAGGATCATGGAACAAAATGTGTTCTAGTTATAATTGTGGTGGATGTGATGTTAATTTGTTGCACATACATAGTTTGTGTTTTATAACCAGCCTAAATTGTGATCAAGTAGAAATAGAATAAAATGAAGTATTTCTGCTCATATGAGAGACTACTAAGAATATATTCGTCTAAATTTCTAAATAATCATAGGTTTAGAGAATGTCTTTTTTTTCTATTGTCCCAAACCTCTCTTTGTGCGGGGAATGCCAGAGGCACTCTGTAATTTCTTTTTTAACAGAATAATACACTTTTGAAAAAATAGAATATTTTTAGTTTTTTGAAAAATGATGTTTAATTGTTAAAACACAGCCTTTGCAGATAGCAGGTGAATAAAATGACTGATCAAATGAGAGGATGAATTTTGGAAGCTTCTAGAAATATCAGATGACATTTCAAACTACTGAAACATTAATGTGTATTTGGGGATTTCTCCTTTTCCCCAGATAGCATCTTGACTCAGAGTTATATAAAGCAATTTCTGACACAAGGTAACTTAGTGTTGGTTCAAATGTATATCTCTTAGTTATTTGTACACAATGATTATACTAATTGGATTTTGATTTTGATTATTGGATTTTGATTATTAAAATGAAGTATTCAAGAAGTAGGAGATGGTTTGTTACAAGAATTAAAAAGATATCTAAATGACTTTGGGAATAGTGCCCCCTTATGGTTTAGGAAATAGTCTACATTTCACAACAACTCTTAAAAACTGGTTAAACATTTTAAAATATTAACATTTCAGAAAGGCTTGTGAGAATATACTTAGAAATGTGTCGTCTTGGTCTGTGAAAAGATAAAAAGAAACTTTAATGAAGGAAAGAAAAAGAGTAGGCCTGAGCCAGTGTGTAGACAGTCAATACTACTTTTGTAACCATGTATACATTATAATTTATGCCACTAGGAGAACAAGGAAGTAATGAAGAATTGGGTTAGCTTCAATCCCTTTAGAATTCTGAGAGTGGAACGTGATTGTGGAGCCTGAATTCAACTTACTCAAGAGGTAGAACTAACTGGGAGTAGCTTTAGTAATGGCTTAAACTTGTATCTTGTTCATATGTAGAATTTTGGCCTAATGTGGTTGAGATAACGTAAAATTATTTAAGTAGTT